TCAGAGTGCCTCTGTAAACTGTGAACTATATAGAAGTGTATATAAGTGCCATCTTCTCACTAATAAACTGAGAACATTACATTAATCCTATTGGTTTGACGTGTGTTCTGTCCTGTCCAGCCTTCTCGTTTTATGAGGACCCTGTTCATGGATCTCTTTTAAAATTCATCTCTCCTTAACTTGCCTTTGTGTCAGGAGCTGTCGGACGTGCACAGCACAACCAGGAGCAGCTTTTCTTTGGGAAAATTGGGGCGAGGACCCCAGAACACCTCTCTAACACCTGCATTTCTGCTCTTATCTCCTGTTCTGGTGGAAATTTCCCCTTCCAAAGCAGGCCATATGCTGGAGAGGGATGAACTAATCAGCTTCTGCCATGGCACAGCAGGGAGGGATCCCAGCGTGGCCGCGCTGGCAGAGCAGCGATGCCGGCTCCGTTTTAATTAGCACTTCCCTCCAGGAAAGACGTGCAGGCACAGAAATGCAAGAGATCAGGACTTTTTAAACTCAGCCTGGCTCCCCGTGAGGCTGCACAGAGCTGTCCCCAGGCTGCCACGCAGATGGCAGCGCTGCAGAGTGCTCTGGGGCTCATTTCCCCCGTGTGCCACCACCCCGAGCCATCAGGCTGGCAGCGTTCAGGTGGCATCACAAGTGAGGCACCAGAGATTTGAGTTGGCTTGTATTTGACCAGCTTTGCTCCCTCTTGGTTTTATTGTTTGTTTTTTTGGGTTTTTTGTTGTTTTGGTTTTTTTTTTCCCTCCTTGTTGCTGTCCAAGATGTGATTCCTGCTTTCTAATGAGAAATCAATGGTGCAGCTCTCTGGGCTGAGCTGGTGACAAGGGACACTGCAGACAGCAGAGCAGCTGGAATGTCCCTCTGCGAAACACAGCTTGGAAATGCTGCTGCTCCTTGGGACAGCAGCGAGGTTGATGTTTCCTCTGTTGAGAAGATGGAATTTTGGGTGGTACATCAGCAGCTTGGAGCTAATTCCAGCGGAGATGCTCAGGGCAGCTTTGCTCTCCGGCTGTTCCTGCGTCCTGCATGAACTGAAGTCACAGCTCAGCTCTGGAAGTGCTCCATCTGCTCAGGTTTGGAATAACCTGGGTTTGTTGTAGTTTTTTAGGGGATATTTTGCTAGAGGCTGTATCCTTTGTGCATGCCAGAGCAAGAGGAAGAACTGATAATGCCGTGGAGAGCCGAAAGTGCTGGCAAATGGAAGGACCCTTGATTTAGTATGAGATGGTTTGAGGCTGAGATGATCTTTAAGGTGCCTTCCAAACCTTGGTGTGAGTCTGTGGCTGTGTGCTGGAAGAGCTGACTTCTCACAGAGATCCCTGCTGGAACAGAGAGAAGGGATCCACAGCTGCAGAAACAGGCATGGCCCCACTGTCTCCTGGGGTGTTGGAGCTCAGGAGTCTCCCCTTGAGGCATCACCTCTGATCTCTGACAGTCCCTGGTGCTTTTCCTTGCTCCTTTTGGCTGCCTTGTTTCCACAGCAGCTCCTCCAAGGCGCCGTGCTCAGCTCCTTGCACAACAGCACTGTGGTGGCTGTGCTGGGCTGGGCTGGGACACTCCCTAAACCCAAATAACAGCACCCCAAAGTTATTTACTCGGCACCCAGGCTGCTCCTGGGGTCTGCTGTCAGAAGCCACACGCGCTGCAGATGTAACCAAAGGTGCAACAAGCACCTCTCATCACAAACTCACTGGGTGCTTTGGAATAAATGCAATTTCACCTCTCTCTCCAAAGAGGGAAGGAGCAGAAAATTAAAGATAACTCAGTGGTTTCTGTCTCTCATGGCAGGGCTCCTCCTCAGATTCAAAGCCTGGGACTGCAGGTTCTGTGCCAGGAGTGGGGACCCATCTGTCACCTGCTGGGAGTGGCTGAGCTGCGTTCCAGGCTTGGTGAGAAGAGGTTGACCCCAGCTGAGCCTGGCTGGGTGATCATTGAGGGGTTTGTGGGGATGGAGATCACACTGTGAGCTTCACCCCAGGGTGATCAAAATGGGTTTGTGGGGATGGAGAGCACACCATGAGCTCCACCCCAGGGTGATCAAAATGGGTTTGTGGGGATGGAGAGCACACCATGAGCTCCACCCCAGGGTGATCACTGAGGGGTTTGTGGGGATGGAGATCACACTGTGAGTTTCATCCCAGGGTGATCACCAGATCAGTTTGTGCTGGTGGACATCACACTCTGAACTTCACCCCAGGGTGATCACACATGGGTTTGTGATGGTAGAGATCACAGTATGAGCTTCATCCCAGCATGATCACTGATGGGTTTGTGCTGCTATGGATCACACTCCACCATGATGTGAGCTTCACCCCAGGGTGATCACTGAGGGGTTTGTGGGGATGGAGACCATACTCTCAATTTCACCCCAAGATGATCACCAGATCCGTTTGTGCTGGTGGAGATCACACTCTGACCTTCACCCCAGGGCGATCACACATGGGTTTGTGCTGATTGACGGAGATCACACTGAATTTCATGCCAGGGTGATGCCTCAGCACTGCCTGGCCACTCTCTGCCTGCTTGGCAGCTGCTCTGCAGCCTGCACTTGGCTGCAGTTCAGTGGCAGGAGGATTCCTAGCTGTTTGTCATTGTAAAGCACTCTGGGATGAAAGGTAGTACATAAATGTGAGGTTGTGATGAGGCTTTAGGCTGTGCTGGGATAAGGAAGAAGATTTAAATGGGTTTTTTCTCCCACCAAGTCTTATTTAATATGGAGGGGTATCAATTTGTCACTGTCTTGATCAGAGTTTCCCCTCCCCCTCCAGCTGATTTTGTGCTCTGCAGGGAGGAAAATGGTTGGCTATCAATAACAGTGATCACACAGATCCCTGTGACTCAAAAATCAAACTGAAGTTAGTGATCACTTATGGGAGTCCAGGGCATCCCTCTGGCTGCCCTGGCAGGTCTGGGACCCTGGCAGGGGTCAGGAACCGCCCTGGACAGAGCCCCCAGAGACACTGGCTGTGATCTCTGCCCATGGAAAAGAGTTTTCAATCTCACAGGATGAATTACCAGCTCTGAGTGTTTGATATGAGTAATAATTAAGTGTGACATGGGTGCAAAAGTAAAATTTTAGGATTCTAGATGAGGGGTCCAAAGGGGACAAGATGGAGGAAATTGGGTGTGTCTTGTCCTTTTTCTCCTCCTTCATGCCCTCCATGTTTCACTGTGGTGTTGGCATTTTTCTGTTGGTTCAGGCTGGGGACACACTGTCCAACGTAGGTGACAGATATTGGCACGTTCTTGTAAATCCAGCACAGGTAGTTTGTGGTATTTAATGTTTGTACCATCCCACTGAGGGCAGAGCCCCACACGCTGCCCTGCAGGACAGAGCTGCGGCAGGGCAGCAGAACATGTTAGAGATAAACAGAATAAACAACCTTGGAACCAGCACAGACCAATTATGGCTTCTGCTTTGGCAGCGGGGCTGACAGACAGAGACTTTCTACAGTCTCAGGATCATCAATACCTCAGATTCCGACAATCACCAGCACCTTTTGGAATCCCAGCTCCGAGTGTTCTCATCCAAACAAGTCTGTGACCCTGAACCTACAAGTCTGTGTTGCACAAGATGTTCCAAACTGCTGGGCTGAGGTCTGGGGTGGCCCAGGAGATGCAGCCCACGGGCACAGAGCTCCAGCAGAGCTCTCAGTGCCAGCTGGAGCCACGCAGAAACCCTGACTTGGAGTCTAAAATTTGGGACCTTTTGCCTGGTGTTCAATCCCTCCTAAACGAAGCCACATCTGATTAGAGACACTTTAATTGCTCTGTGCCTCGGGTGCCTCAATGAGCAGAAGGAAAGGCCTTAGGACGCAGTTCTTGTTTTTCAGCCTTGTTATTCAGCAAAGATCACATCCAATTTCCCTGGAAATCCTCACCAAAAGGAACAGCACCTCCTGGATCAGAGATCTGCCACAGAATCCTGGTGGTCTGTCCATCCTGGGTGTCCCCACTACCTGTGCTGGTGTGTTTTTACACACAGCCACCCCCTCCAGGGCTGTGCCACAGCACTGACACCTTTGATGAGCCAAAAACCAGAGAGAAAACAAAGCAGAGACTGGAGCTGTTTATCACAAACACAGCTTTGGGTGGGGTGAAGGACCTGGGAGTGTTTCTAGAAGTGTTGATCTGGTTTTGCGCCAGTTTGGGGTAAAATCTGTCCATAACCGTGGTGACCCTTGGAAAGTGAACCCCAAACTTTGGGGCTCTGTGAATGAGCTGCTGTGGCTTTAACACAAGCTGCTCAGTCAGTTCTTTTTTAAATTTCTGACAGAAAGGAGCAGCCCTGGGCATGATTGATTACCTTGGTGACATTCATGACAGCTGGGGCAATAGGGGATGTTTGCATACTTTGTGTATAATACCTACAACTTCTTTGTTGTCAACAAGAAAGGACTGAGCTCCTTCAAAAGCTGCCTCGTTCTTAATTTCCAGCTGATGAGAACTGCTTTAATTACACAGGCCTGTTTGAGCGAGTTCATGGTAGAACTTCCAGTTCTGTGTGTACAGATGGGGAGCAAAAAAAAAACCAGAATTATGGATTTGATGGGGAGGAATTCATCCTCTGCTTCCCTGTGGGAGAGGAGCTGCTGACTCAGATTGGTGAAGGTTACAAACACAAGTGCTGGAGTGGCAACAGGCACAATTATGTTTGAACTATTGTGGTGCTTATGTAAAAACAATCAGATTTATTTTTAGCTCATGAATTCTGCTGGGAAAAAAAAAATTGAGGTGTCACCTTGGCAGCTTGATGCTGTAGTGATCACAGAAACCTGCCAAAAATTGGGATATTGAGTTATAGAAGGGTTAACTGAGACTGAGAAACTGTCAGGTTTGTCAGCCTAAAGTGATTCTATTTTTGGGCTGTCTAAAACAAATTCATAATACTAAAACCCTAATTATTCTACTTTTAATCCAAGATGCTATTTCATTGTTTGGATTATCTGATATCATCACACATCCATATTTATGACAGCCCTGAAGACTCCAGAGTCCAAAGCTTTTATTGCCTGGGCAGACACAACAGAGAAATTCAAAACAAGACACACACATACAAATATACACCAACATACATTTAAACAGTGCAAAGAGGTAGTACCATTAATTAAGAAATACATAACAAGCAGTAAAAATACTGAGAGAATTCAGATTTGTCTTCATTGCACGCCTTTCAAGTATCACAAGAGGCTACAGAGTGATTTATTCAGCATCAATCCAAATTTAAAAGTGTCCTCTCTTCTCTGATATGATTTTATCTGGAATTTTTTTATTGCTGGCCTGCAGGTGATTAGCTGAAGGGGACAGCACTTAGTTCAAAAATAAAACACTATGGTTTGTTAACAACTTAGAAAATGAGCTTTGAATTCATTACCTACAGGAACCAGATTGTCTGTGCACCTCAGGATGGAAAATTAGGCATGAACACCAAATATTTAACTTTTTTTTCCCCCTTTCTCTAAAAAGATCCAATTTCATGACTGAGCTTTGTTTGGAGAGGGGAAAAAATATATATATATATGAAAGTGGATGGGTTTTAGTGCTGCCCTGAAGAAAAACTCCCGTGCAGCCTTAAAGTTCGACTAAAAAACTGCAGAATTTAGGTTTTGTTGGGGAGAAAAAGCATGAACTTGATCTCTGTGGAGACAGAACCCTGAAAGTATTGAAAAATAAAGCTGGAAAGGCTCCAAGAGGCTTCCCAGGGAATGTTTAGGAGCATCCTGGGGTGCAAAGAGCAGGAGATCCCAGAGCCAGAGCAGCAGAGCTTTGAGGCAGTCCTGAGCTCTGCCAGACCTGGCTGATTATTCCTGAAAGTTCCTTTGAACTGCAAGCAGCTGAGGGGTTTTACTTTTTGAAAAGTGCTTTAGGAAAGAAGGATTGTCAGCTGTAGAGGGTTAGGAATAAAAAGCAAAATGGAGCTCAGTAAATGCACTTTGTGTCGGCGTTTCCAAGGGTGTCTCTGCTCAGGCAGATTCGGGAGTCCAGGGAAGCTTACAGGGAAAGAGCCAGAAGTATTCCCTTTTTTTGTGGATTTTTTTTTCCAGATATCCTGTTTTATTCCTGTTGTTTAAGCTCTGATGGGCCACCAGGTGAAACGAAATAAATCCAAAGCAGGCAGCCAGGCCACAAGCGGAGGGAAGATGCTGCAGGTAACATTTATCTGATGTACTCCTCCTCAGAGGTGCAGGACGTGTCCTCTGTGCTTTCCTCCAGATCTGGCAGGTTGCCCCACAGCAATACATTCACACCTGGTGGAAAGGAGACAAAGGAGGGGGAAAAATGAGATATTTATGGATTGTGACCTTATTTTTAAGTTGCACAACTGTCTATTTCAAGAGAAAATAATCCCTGCAAAACCCAGGGAGTCACGTTCATGGTGAATAAACCTATTTTCTATGTTCCTTCAAAGTGATCTTGGGAGTGTTGTTGTTTATTTTTTTCCAGCCCAATTCAGAGGATAAATATTTATATAACCAATTATATAAATATAATATAACAGAAATATTATTTCTGTTGACACATTAAGAAGAATGTTTAAAGTTTTAGAGTTTAAGATACAGAAAAAAATAAAAGTAGTTGCAAAGGTAAACAAGAAGTTTAGAATGCAGTATGGTAAGTTTGTGTCATAACATGATTAGCTAAGAAAACTTAGACTGTATCACAGGTCTAGAAGAAAAAATATTTAAAAATTAAGTTAAAACATAAATATTTTTGTTAGCAGTGTTTTATTATTTAATAAATCTTTTAAAAGTCTTGTAATTAAGGATCTTGTAACCTTCTGAAGCATGCAGTAAAGATGTAAACCAAACTCACCTTTTCTGTCTATGTAAAAAATAAGGAAAGGATCTAAAAAACTCAAAAGTCCCATCTCTAACTCCTTCAAAAATCCCCATACCCCAGTAAATAAACTACAAATAAACCTGTTATTGTACTGGTGGTGGCCTCACTGCAGAAAACCCTGACTTGTCCACAGGGAGGGGGGTGCAGAGCCATTGACACTGAAATTTTCATCAACAGCTGCCTCCCCCGAGTGGTTTTCTAGATCAGCAACTCCTCCTCCACCCACTTGGGCTAAACTGGGATGCCTGGTTAGAGTGAGGAAGGGGTGTCCTTCATCTCCCTGGTTTGAGAGGATGGGGAATCCTCCTCTTCCTCCTTCTCCTCCTCCTCCTCATCCAGAGGAGGCAGCGAGGCTGTTGATGGGTTTGGAACACAAACCCTGTGAGGAACCCCTGAGGGAGCTGGGGGTGCTCAGCCTGGAGAAAAGGAGACTCAGGGGTGACCTTGTCACTCTCCACAGGTCCTGAAAGGTGGCTGTGGGCAGCTGGGGCTGGGCTCTTTCTCCAGGAGCTGACAGAACCAGAGCACAGCCTCAGCTGCACCAAGGGAAATTTAGGTTGGATGTTAGGGAAAGGTTTTTCACAGAAAGAGTGATAAAGTGTGGGAAATTAATTTGTAGAGAATCAGGCATGGTGTGGCTAGAGCTGATAGGCCAAGAAGCACTTACAATGTATTTAATTAGGAACTAGTTGGCTTCTGATTGTGATGGTGTGAATTATAACATCTGTATTGTCTCACCTTTCACATGAGACTGAAAATGGAATAAAAGTTTTTAAAAGACCTCTCAGATGCCCCATCTCTGGGTCAGCACAGGGCTTAATCCGACCATAAAGTTCTGGAATGTTCTGCCTGGGGAGGTGGTGGGTCCCCACCCCTGGGTGTGTTTAACAAATCCCGGATGTGGCTCTGGGTGCCAGGGTTGAGCTGAGGTGTTGGGGCTGGGTTGGACTCAATGATCTCTCAGGTCTCTCCCAAGCTGGTGATTCTGTGAATTCTGTGATGGGGGATGAGGATTTTAGGGAAAGGGAAGGAAACCAAGGTGTCCTCACCAGAAGGGTCCAGCCTGTTGATGCCAACCACTGCCTGGCTGTGGAACATCCAGAGGTGGCCATTGTTGCAGGACAGCAGGCAGGGCTTGCAGGGACAAATCACATGGTAGCCAACAACATTCCCACTGGAAAGGCAAGGGAAAGAGTGAGCCTGGGAAAAAGGTGGATCTTGGTGGCTTTTTCCAGCTCCAATTAAATAGCCCCAGTGCCAGAGCATTATGTAATGCTTGTGTTTTGATAGAGTTAAGGGAACGGGGTGAACAAGTATCTTAAATATTTAGGGAACATCTGTTGGGAGTTACAGAATATCTGAGTTTTAGATCTTTGGCACACAGAGAAGCGTTTAGTAACCTAAATTGTGTAACTCAGATTAGTTTGCATACCAACAAATGCTGGTGGATTTCTTTATTTGTTTTCCTTTGGAAGGCCATTGATTCTAACCATCAGAGATGTTCCTCACACCCAAAATCCACCTGACAGGAGCACCGTGCACAGGAGGCTACCAGCAGCAGCAGTGATGAAACTGAGAATTACGGAATGGTTTGGCTTGGAAAAGACTTAAATCTCATCCAGTTCCACCCCCTGCCATGGGCAGGGACACCTTGCATTGTCCCAGGGTGCTCCAGCCTGGCATTGGACACTTCAGGGATGGGGATGGGGCAGCCACATCTTCTCTGGGCCAGATTATTGACCCTTATCAACTCTCCTAGACTGAAACCATAACAACAATTTATCCATTTTCATGTGCTCTGATGAGACATTTCTGTTTCTCTGCTTCTGTCTAAAAACCAAAATATGGTGTCCCTATCACAACCCCCTCAGTTGTTCAAATCTAGGAAATGTAAAAATCTTGATCTGATCTGGAAGCTGAAAGAATTCTCTCAGATAACTGCGAGCTATTTGAGAGTTGTTGTTTTCACCCTTAAATATCAGGCATGAATAAGGAGGATAAAAGAACTCCAAGAACTTTAGCGACAGCATGTTCCATCGGCTCCCAACAACCCGATCTGCCAAGAGGATGTTCTATTAATTAGAGTATGAGTAAGTGCTTCTTGCTGGGGCCTTATTCACAGAGAAATCTCAGCGTTCAGGCAGACATTTCATCGGGCAGGTGGCACACAAGCTTTCAGGAGACTCAGCCTCCTGACAGTGTTGTCACATTTCCGCTGGGGACTCACAGAAATACCCTGGCAGCTTTGCCCAGGCTGAGTTTCTCCCCAGCAGCATGAAATTTGCAGCAGGGAAGGCAAGCTGTTCCTTCTGCCCGAGGGGACAGCGAGGAGGGGACACAGGGCTGGGACACGTCAGTGCCACAAGTTGGGAGCTCACCACTTCAAACAGGCGATGTTCTTCAGCTTGCACTTGCAGATCTCAGTGAAGTAGCAGCTTCCGATGAAATCGACAGTTCTGGCGGAAGGAAGTGTACAGAAGTTTGGAGATGTGGTGATCACAACCTCAGCGTCACAACAAAGTGATGCTGCCATTGGCCCTGGGTGGTTTAAACCACAAGGTTCTGCTTTCCTTTTGACTCTCAGCCCCACTCATATGGAAACTGTAATGAGGCCCACATGACATTGCATGAGTATCAAAAATCCTCTTAAAATAGCCCAGAAAAGCAGGGTTTGCCTCGGCGCTCAGGGGCTCTCGGGCTCAGTGTGGCACTGCCAGCCAGAGCCCTGAACAGGGGCATTGCTGCCAAACCCCAGCTCAGAAACAGAACAATACCTCAGAGGCTGGGATGTTTCAACCCAAACCTTTGATTCCTTATCTCCTCTCCAACCCGTACTTTCTGATTACCATGTCATTTCACAACCTGATTTCCTTACTATTCAAATCTGGCTATGGGAAAGCAGCCCTGAGCCGAACCGGGGGAGAGTCCTGGCAGCAGTGACAGATCAGGTTTGTGCTGTTTGTGGCTCTTTATTCCAAATTCTAATCTTCGCTTCGCTAGGAGCGGGAGGAGCTTCCCGCGGCTGCCGAGCCTGTGGCATCCCTACGGATGGATGAAGTTGGATTTTGGATTTGACATCCTCGCTCTTTGCTCTCCTGCCGTGGATTCCCGGGGCTGGAGATGTAGGGGTGGGATGATCCGTGTTCTGCAGGGCCGTTCTCCCGGTGACAGCGGATTTGGGAGGGATGCTGTTGTGTCCCCCGGTGGAACCCACCCTTTCCCCTTCCCGGCGCTTACCCCGCGGGCGGGATGTCGGTGGAGTAGAGGGCGGTGTCGGTGTCGGCCAGCAGCACCGCCTGCATCCCCCGCCAGCTCAGCACCTGCCGGCAGAACCGGCAGCACAGCACGCGAACGCTCCGCTCCTCGAAGGTGCAGCCGCTGGAGGACATGGCGGCTGCGACACGGTCCTGGTCCCAGTCCCGGTTCCGGTGCCAATCCTGGTCCCAGTCCCGATGCCAATCCCTCTTCCGGTCCTGGTCTTGGTCCCGGTCTCGGTCCCGGTCCTGATCCCGGTCCCCGTTCCGATCCCGATCCCGGTCTCGGTCTCAGTCCCGGTCCCGATCCCGATCTTGGTCCCGGTCTCGGTCCCGGTCTCAGTCTCTGTCCCGGTCCCTGTCCCGATCCCGGTCTCGGTCCCGGTCCCGGTTTCAGTCCCTATCCCGGTCTCGGTCTCGGTCCCGGTCTCTGTCCCGGTCCTGGTTCTGGTCCCGGTCTTGGTCCCTGTCCCGATCCCGATCCCGATCCCTGTCCCGGTCCCGGTCCCTGTCCCGGTCTCAGTCTCCGTCCCGGTCCCTGTCTCGGTCCCGGTCTCGATCCCGGTCTCAGTCTCAGTCTCGGTCCCGATCCCGGTCCCGGTCCCTATCCCGGTCTCGGTCCCGGTCCCGGTCTCAGTCCCTATCCCGGTCTCGGTCCCGGTCTCGGTCCCTATCCCGGTCTCAGTCTCCGTCCCGGTCCCTGTCCCGATCCCGGTCTCGGTCCCGGTCCCTGTCCTTGTCCCGATCCCGGTCTCGGTCTCAGTCCCAGTCCCGGTCCCTGTCCCGATCCCGGTCTCGGTCCCGGTCCCTGTCCTTGTCCCGATCCCGGTCTCGGTCTCAGTCCCAGTCCCGGTCTCAGTCCCAGTCCCGGTCTCGGTGCCGGTGCCGGTGCCGGTCCCGTCCCGCTGCAGCACCAACGGCCACGCTCCCACCTGTCAGTTTGAATTCCCTACCGCGCCCGCCCATTGGGCGCCGCAGGCCACGCCCACCCATTGGAAAACCCGGTGGTACCACCCCTCCTGCCTAGCTATTGGTGGAAAAGAGCGCCCTGCGTCGTTTCTATTGGTCACTCTTGCTGCCACTCACACGCTCGGCCGGAGGGGCGGTGCCACGGGCGCCAGCGGCGGGAAGAGGGGGCGGGCTCATCTTGGGGATGGCCATGTCTGATTGGTTGCGATGCCCGTCGCTCATACCCAGCGCTCCGCGCCCATTGGCCGAGGCGCTGGGCGGGGCGGGCGGCGGCGGGCCGGTGCGGGGGACCGGGCGGCGGGCGCCAGCGGCCGGAGGACGCCCGGCTGCGGGAGGCGGCTCCGCAGTGCCCAGGTAATCGCCCCGCCGGGCCGCCCGGCCCCGGCCCTCCCGTGCCACCCCTCGCCGGGCCGCGGGCAGCCCTCCGCCGCCGGCCCCGCCGCCTCCCCGGCGCCCCGAGCCGCGTCCCCCCAGCCCCGGCCCCCCCTTCGGGACCCCCCCACGCTTCCTCTCCCCGCCGCCCGCATTGTTCTTCCCGGGCGGGATGCGGATCCGGCGGGTGCTGTGTTTATTTATTTCTTCCTCCCGTACCCGCATCTCCCGCGGGGGGCTGCGGCCGCGCGCCCGCCCTCCCCCCAAAAAAACGGGGAAGAAATCCAAATTGGAAAGAAAAGACGGGGGAAAAGTTGTGTCCCGCCCTGCACAGCGCAGCGGGCGCTGGAAGAAACCCTAAATCACCCCCCTCCTAAAAAAAAACCCGAAGAGGGAGAAGCCGCGGGCGGAGCCGCCCGGCGGGGGCGCGCCCGGTGTGCCCGGGGCTGCCGCCGGTGGGGCCGGGCCCGCGGTTAGCGGGGGATGCTGCGGGGCCCGGGGGAGCCCCCACAGCCCCGGGAGCTGCTCCCCAAAGGAGCCCCGGCCCGGGGACCTGCACCCCAAATCAACCCCATATTTTCCCCCAGGATCTACACCCCATATCAACCCCAAGTTCTCCTCCAGGACCTGCACCCCAAATTATTCCCAAATTCTCCCCCGGGACCTGCACCCCAAATGAACCCCAGCTCTCATGGGAGCCGCATCCCAAAGGGAGCCCCGTTCACCCGGGAGCCGCTCCCCAAATTCTCCCCCGGGACTTGCACCCTAAATGCACCCCAAAATCTCCCCCGGGACCTGCGCCTTAAATGAACCCCAAATTCTCCCCCGGGACCTGTACCCCGAATCAGCCCAAATTGCAACGGGAGCTGCATCCCAAAAGAAGCTCCTTTCCCCCGGAGCTGCTCCCCAAATTCTCCCCCGGGACCTGCTCCCCAAATCAATCCCAAATTCTTCCCCGAGACCTGCACCCCAAATTAACCCCAAATTCTCCGCCGGGACCTGCACCCCAAATGAACCCCAGCTCCCATGGGAGCCGCATCCCAAAGGAGCCCCTGCTCCCCAGATCACCCCGGTTCCTCGGGAGATGCACCCCAAATCACCCCGGGAGGCGCTCCCCGATCACCCCCGGTTCCCCGGGAGGCGCTCCCCGGATTCTGGCCGGGATGTCCCGGAGGAGCCGCTGTGCCCGAGCCACCCCCGGTCCCCGCGGTAGGCGTGTTCCCTTCCCTTCCCTTCCCTCGGTCACCTGGCCGGGCTGCGCTTGGAGCCTCACGCTGCTGCTGCTCAAAGGACGATTTGCAATGTCAGGGTGTCAGCGCAGCTTTGCTTCCCGTCACAAATTTGGGCTGCGAGCAGTCATTTTCTAAATATATAGATATATATATTCATATATTATTGCTGTTATTTTTTTGTATTTGCAGGCAAGCAAACCGAAGCTGCTTCCCCTCTGCTGCTGCTCTCGTTTGGGATTTGATTTGCATCATCTCCGAGCCCATTAAAAGAAATAAATAAAAAAAAAAGAAGAGGGGAAAAAAATAAAAAAGGGCAAACCAAACCCACACAAAACATGTGCGGAAGGACTTCCACTCCCTGGCTGTGCTATTGAGGATCGGGAAGAGCCTTTGGGGCTGCAGGATCTCGCTAGGCTGATGCTGCTGCTCAAGGATTTGGTGCAGGGAGACAAAACTGCTGCCTCTTCCATCCGCTGATCTCAACATCTGCATTTTCCTGCTGCTGTGCTCCCTCTCACACCCTCTCTCCATGGACTGATTTTTTTATTTTTTTCCCTTTTTGCGGGGGGGGGGGAGGGAAGGACGAGCAGAAAGCCAAGGCATCGTGCTGAGAGGAGCGAAAATTGCCTTTATATCTCGTGTTCTGGTGGATCTCTTTCGAGGTTATTCAGCTTTTTGGAAAAGAAAACATGACGTCGCCAGCAAAATTCAAAAAGGATAAGGAGATCATAGCTGAATATGACACTCAAGTGAAAGGTAAGGAATGGTTTTATTTCCATCCCTTCACTGCAAGCCTGCCTGGCGATTGTAGGAGTTTGCAGTGGATGTTTGGGTGGGGAAGAGGGAAATCATTTGCAGATTGCCTGGAATTTGCAGGGCTTTTTTTGGGAATACAAAGCTGGGTCGGGTTTGCAGTGCTGTGTCTGTCCCCATGGGGCAGTTCCTGCTTTGGTGTTGCCGTTTTTAAGGTACCACAGCGAGGTTGTTTTTTTTTTTTTTTAATGGAATACCCACATTTTTGAGTTCGGGGAGATCCATCTTTTCCTGCCTGCCTTTCCCAGAGACGGCTTTGCATGTGAAATATGAGAGGCAGGGAATTGCTTTTTAATCCTCTGCCTGTCATGGGAATCTTTGAACAATCTGTGCAGTGTCACAGGAGCATATTTCCACTGCTGCTGATGGGGGACTGTGCTCCAGGGTCCCTGGGAAGCTGTTTGTGCTAGAAACTTCCATTATTCAGGATTTTCCTCGGGGTGAGTCCATCATAATTCCCTGCTTTTCCTTGCCGTGCTGGAGTGTAACACCTCGAGGCTGCAGTGTGGGTGTGGGTGTACACACAGAGAAATGAATAAAACTCGTGCAGCAGCATTATTCCCATCATCACAGGGAATAATAAACAGATTTAAACACTGGGCTTTGCAATGACCATGCAAGTCTCCTGCAGAATTCAGCTGGCTGGGTTTCAGGCCATCATGTGCCCTAGGTTAAAAAAAAAATATAAAAAATGGTGAAATTCCCCCTCCTCCCCCCCCCCCCCCCCCCAGCTGCTTATTTTTGTGAAGTTTTCAGGATAAGACTTATTTAAAAGAATAATTAGGGCTTGTGCATGGCTTGATATGTTGCTGCTAGGAAGTTTGGAGATTCAGTGATTTATCTAATTGGTTAAAACTTGCTTGGTATGCTCAGAGCGTGCAGGAAAGATGGCCTTCGGGCAGGGTTGATTGAGTTAAATCAATGCAATTTGAAAAAAAAAAAAAGAAGCCAGATTTAAATCTGAGTAGGAAACCTAGATTAAAATTGACAATTAAGATATTGTTTTGCAATTAGGTGCTCAGTTATTTTTCCTGCTGGGGAAGGGGGGGATCTGCTTGTTGGTTGCAAATCATTAAAATGTGTTGTCCTACAAGACATGTCCTACCCTGACCCCAGTGCCCTCCACCTAGAAGCACTTCGGGTACTTATGTTGAAAAATGCTTATTTGAGCAAATAGGAAGCTGTGTTGAGAGTTTATTTTGATTTTTTTTTTTTTTTTAATATTGAGGTTCTTAAAGTTAGGAATGGAGAAGGGCGTGTTTCTCTTTTACTGGTTTAGTTTCTATTCCTGTTTTCAAGCTGTCTTTGGAACTGGGAATTGCAGTCAGCGTAAAATTAGAGGCTTGTAGGCTCTTTCATTATTTACCCCATCAAAATGTGCATGACGGATCCGAGCTCGCAGTCACAATATTTAGGAATAACACGGAAAGGAGGCTTTAGAATTAGCAAAGCACATCCTCTCACCTCTCAGCTTTTGCATGAATTAGAAATCCTTCCCTTCCTTTTCACACAAGAGACCAGGAAAATGGGAAGGAGCCTTCTTGTTGCTGCCAGAACTCAGCTCATCTCTGGGGCTGTCGATTAACCTGGAAATGTGCTCCCAAAAGTGGACTGCAGTAGTGGCACACTGATTTTTTTTGTTTGTCTTTTTGGTTTTTTTTTGTTTTTTTTTTTTTTGTTTTTTTTTTGCTTTTTGGCCTTATAAAGCATTGCTCTCTTAGATGCAGGAGGTTAAGGAGGCCGGAAGCGTGTGAAGGGATCAGGAGGAGCTGGGAGAAGGGATTTCCTTCCTGAATTAGGGTGAGGGCAGGGATGTGTTCACCTCGGGATGCTCATCCTGTCCCTCTCCCAGTTTGGCTCTGGGGAAGGAGGTGCTGCTCCATCTCCTGCCCCTCCTTGGAGGGAGGTGTAGAGGGACCAGACAGCTCAGAAATGCACAGGACAGTCCTGTAGCAGCCCTGTCCTACATCCCTGCTTTATTTTAGAGCTTTTCCTTTCCCTTTTCCACCCAGCACTGACCTTTCAGGAGCTGCTTGGACATGGGGGATCCTTGTCTCCCTGCCTTGAGGTACCAGCTTTGGAGGGAGACTTTACTCCTTTCAAAACATCACACAACTTTGCTTGTTTTGTGCTTTACATCACTTCCCTAAATGTCTCTCATGCAAAACCATGACAGTTCCACAGGTAGCTCAGTTCTGAGCTGGATACTGCTGTGATTCCTCAGGGAATCTCTCAGCTCTAATTCCAGGCGTGTGCAGGTCTCTCCACCCCAGTGGCAAGATGAGATGGTGCTGAATCCACTGAGATCCGCAAGTGTGGTGGTGGTGCTGCCTCATCACCAAAC